GTTAATATTCAGGAGGATGCCTATATGTTTATCTTTGGGTTCTCCTTTTTATTTAGCTTCTCTAAGATCACAAATTATAGGCTCAGTGTCCTTTATTTATGGCTAGAAACCAAATATGAGTGAGTATATCCCATGTTCCTCTTTTTGGGTCTGGCTTACCTCACTCAGGATAGTGTTTTCTATTTCCATCCATTTGCCTGCAAACTTCAAGAAGTCCTTGTTTTTTTACTGCTGAGTAGTACTCTAATATGTATATATTCCCTACTTTCTTCATTCATTCTTCAATTAAAGGGCATCTAGGTTGTTTCCAGGTTCTGGCTATTACAAACAATGCTGCTATGTCTAGTTCACATATTTGCTATGTGGTTTGAATGTAACTCCCTCACTTCAGACACCAGAGTCCCACTTTTGTGTCAGTGACCCTATTATATGTCTCTTATCTCTGTTACTCCTATTTCTTCTCCCTGGTCTCGTGTACCTGCCATTGGCCCCAAACTTGCTGTATAACCAAGTATCACTTTGTAATGATGAATTAATTTCCCTTTTTCTCTTCAGGTACACCAGCTGCAAATACTGTTAGTACAGATGATATCCAGGGAGGACATTCTTCTTTCTCAGGTATACATACATGTTCAGAAAGGAATGACACCCTTTAATCACAAATGCTTTTGGCTATATTCTTTATGGAGTAAACCTAGGTTGAAGGGATTTGACTAACTGATAACTAGCTAATAACTAACTCCCAAGCATCGATCTATGATATTCTTCATCCTGTTCTCTACATAACTTGTTCATGCAAAGCAGTTCTCATGGCTTCACCACCCATATTTATAGTAAAATTTTCTGGCTTTGTATCTCAGGTCTTAACTGTGTAGTTGGGTACTAAACCTTATTCAAGTGCCTAGTGCACATATTCCTATCTCCTCTGGACTTATATTTCTAAACACCTCCAAAGGTAAACTTGACAGTCCTATCCTAATCCTTTTCAGTTTTCCCTTCTTAGCTATAGTTGTCATCATGAGCAGTTGTTAAAATGTGAATATCAAAGCATGCTTAGTATTTCATTTTCTCTCCTACCTCTTTTAATGTGTGGCTAAATTTTAATGAGTGCCCCTCTCAAGGCCTCTGCCACTTTATTACACAACTTTAATTTGTAGCCTGCAGTAGTTGCCAATCATTAGTGTCTCTACAGTTATCTATGTCAGCTATGATTTCTTGATCGTTATAGAAATAGCTATCATGTGTCAATTGTACACTTGACATTACTCTACAAAATCTTCAAGAATAGTAAGCACGGCAAATAATATTCCTTTTGAAATGAACTTGAGTGATTAAATATTGTATAAATATCACTTTTAAATTGTTTTTATCACTGAATTAAAGATACCAATATCTTAGCTATAGTAATAAAAACCCTTAGATAACAAGGAATTCAGTAAGAAAGTCAATATTCATAGTGGTTCTTCCATAATAGAAGGTTGTTCCTTATTCATGAAGATTATATAAGGCATTCTCAATGAGAGAGAATGCAGGTCTTTTCCTTGCCAGAGATATTTCACTCTGTGTCTTACACACCTACAACAGAAGGCACTAACAGAACTGTGCTAATAGCCTTCCTGTGACAGACATTGGAAAGAATGTGAGAAGTTTGTGGGAGACTTTGCAAACCCAGCTCAGATGTGTCACAAACCAAACACATTTGTATCTTCTATTGGCTGCAAGTGATCATTCAGACAGACTATATTCTGGATTGCTGGTAACAAGGACAAGTTTGTGGTGCAGGGTGGATGCACCTATAGAACTCTGAGTACAGATTTTGCAAGTGTACAATCAAGCAATCCTGGAAGAAAACAAAAATAGGCTTAATTTTTATAATACTAGAGCTACCACAGGAAATATGCATGAATCAAATGACAAAAACCACATTACTATTTCAGTGGCCTTTACTTAAATGGCACCTTCACCTTGTGAAAGATGATGCATCAGCACACCAGATTCATTGTTGATAATGTTAATTTTGAATAAGCTCACGTCTTTCTTAAAGAGCATTGCATGTTACAAGAGAGGTTGTTCCACCATAGTTCTGAAATAATCTCATCCAGAAGACAATGCTTTATCCCAAATCAGAAGGACAAGTATTAAAAGGAAAACTCAGTTATTCTAAGGGATCTATTAATGTGATTAATCCTATGCTTTATTACATATTTCATGTGGTGTGACATTACTATATAACTGAATACTTTATTCAATTACTTTAAAATATCTCCAATATAAATAAATATTTGTTTAACTTGTTGTTGACTTAGACTTATTTGTTCAAAAACAAGACATCTTTTACCAATTAATGAGCATTTTTTCATATTTTCCAGTATGTTCATTCAAAGTAGTTTATATTCTATTCTACAACCAACACATTTTGATAAGTTGGCCCAGTGTGCTAAACATGCAATTATCTAAATGCCCTTTAAAATTAATCAAAATCTCCTTATTTTAATTGCTTTTTTATCTTCTCTAATACCTTA